TCTGTGTTCAGGAAGTGATTGTATTCTTTTACATTAAAAATGTTTAAACATTTAGAAACTATGATTTTGCTCAAATGCTCCGTATCAACCCATTCATTTTGGACTCACTCGGGAGCGCCCTCTAGCGTTTGAGAAAACCGGAAGACGTTGCAGAGAGGTAATTCTCATCTCTACAAGTTCTCTGGACAGGCCGCCACACCAGAATTTGGACAGTTAATGAGATGTCGTGGCGTCACCAAAACGGTTTCCGGGTCACGGAGGAGAGGAGGAGGAAAAAGCAGTACCTTTTAGGGTTTCTGGATGCAGCTCCTGTTGCCACTCACTCAACCTTCAGTACTTAAACCCATGACTTTGTCTCACTCTTACTGAAGTCTCGTATGCAGCTGCAGTTACGTTTCTGAGCCTCTGCTCTGCGCCCACCTCGTTCATGTCCGTTTTTGGATTGACGTTTTCAGACGGAGCCTTGTGAAGATTTTTTAGGCTTCTTCTTTATTACGCCGAAGAGCCAAAACCTTGGAGCATGGACAACAGTGACATCTGGTGGTTGTCAGAAATGATAGCAGCCAGTTTCTTAAGACTGCGGAAGAGGCATCTCGTTGATTTGATTTCATAGATTCAGTCTGATACAAGCATTTGAAGCCTAAGACCAATAGCCTTCACTTATTAAAGTGCGGCTAAGTACGCTGTTGTGTATGTGTTTCATTTTATACATGTTTATTTGATGAATGTGAATGTGATACAAAAAAAAATGTTCATATGGGTTATAAGTACATGGCTAGGGGGTTTCACAATGCTCTTTGTATCTTGTAGCACATAGGATGGCCAGCCAGTCCACTGACACAGTCACATATCTCTACTGGTGGGTAGGTGATGTCCAAAGCTGTGAAAATCAATAGCATGTTGACTCTTTTGACTCTCGTTTTTGTACTGTTAACCTACTTTTGTATTTTTGTAATAAACCCTGACCTACACTTAGAAATAAAGGCTCTGTGCAGGTACATTTTTCATTCATCAAAGTAAAACCAATGTAAATGTGCCCTCAATGGTACAACAATGGTTTTAAGGTCCAACTATGTACCTTAAATAAGTTTTAGAACAATAGTTCTAAGTAAGTAACAGAACAATAAAATAAAAAAAGCCTGGAGATGAGATGGGGTGTGTGGAGTCAATACAACTTAGAAGATATTATTTCAATGGATTATGGTTCAGTTATGTTCCCTGACTAAAGGGAACTTCAAGTTCTCCAGCAGCACAGAGTCTAATGGTAACAGCGAATCATGTGTCGACAACTACAAACGCAGCTGGAAGTTCTTATGCAAGACTACTGCGGACTCCTTGACATCAGCTTCTCCATTGACTGCATTTTCACAAGGAACACAGAGTCAAACAGTAACAAGCAATTCAGGGACTTCTACCACAGCTCATCTAACAACACCTGGAGGCACCACTCCTACTACGGCAGTACCTGGGAGTTGTACTGCAGCAACTGTCAGCTCTATGAAAACTACCTTTCATTCCATGATTTCAGCCACAAATTCTGCAGCAACTTCAGTTTGTTCCACAAGTTCCTCCGCAGCACCTCAAGGTCTAACAGTAACAAGCAGTTCTGGGACTTCCGCTATGAATTCTACCACAACTGTGAGCTTTATGAAAACCTTCTTCCCAATGACCTCAGCAACAGCTTCAGTAGTCAGTTCACATTCTATAAATTCTCCACAAGTGACACAAAGTTCAACCGTTACAAGCAACTCAGGTATTGCTACGATATCTCATTCACTCATCTCTAAGAGACTCCAGGCTGCACAGCTTCTACAGAAGCATCTCAGATTTCTCTTTCGGCAACTGCTGGTTCTGCAGTAGCGGGGAGTTCTCATACAACAACTGTGTTCTATCAAAACAAGAGGTCACTCAGCCATGTATTTGATGAGTTCTGTTGGACCTCTGCAATCAACCACAAGACGTTCTACAAGCATTACAGAAAAGGCAAGTAGTTCATCCATCCCTTCAGGCGCTGTAGTGGGAAATGGAGGCATTTCTGGAAGTTTCTCAATGACAAATTCCATCACCAACACCAAAAACATTATTACATTAAAAACTGAATCTACTCCATCATCATCTGGGTCAGGATCTATACAGCCTAGCTTAATGTTGGCAGTTCCCACCTCCAACACAGCAAGACCACTGACTATGAGTTATACCAATTACAGCAACAGATTCTACAGCCCCACTTTCAAATGGTGAGGGATCCATGGAGCTTGGATTCAGAATGATACGGCAGTTTGAACATTTACAATTATGGCATTTGGCAGACGCTCTTATCCAGAGATACTTACAATTTGATCATTTTACAAAGGTAGTGTTAGGAGTCTTGCCCAAGGACTCTTATTGGCATAGTGCAGGGTGCTTACCCAGGCGGGGGGATTGACCCCCAGTCTACAGCATAGAAGGCAGAGATGTTACCCACTACACTACACCAACCATAAAGGTTGTTGCCACAGAACAAGACTACACAAATGATACGACAGTAAAACATAAGGAACTGGCAGCAAATGTTATCACAGAGGTAAGAAAAATCTGACCATCTATAAACATGTTTAATATGTTAATATATTTCCATTGCATTACATTAAGATTTTATTAATGAAGCGTTGACACAATACAATGGCTACCTATGAAAAAAACTATATCTATATATCTATTTAACTATATATATCACTATATCTCTATAGATACAGTGGGGTCCAAAAGTCTGATACCATATTGAAGGTCTGGGTTTTTTCTATCATTAGAACTAAATAAAAGAAAGTTTTCAAAAATGTAAAACAAGGAAAAGTTTTGACAAGTAAAATGAAAAAGAAACCTCTGCACTATTTCTAGGTGACTTCAAATTTGAGACATGACCATGTTAAGGCCATTGTACAAAAAGGTCAGACTTGTTTTGGGTCTTGTCTCTTCAGTGAAAGCACAGGTACAGATGATCATTTGATCTACTCATCAGAGGCTTTTGCATGAACTCTTGCAGTCAGTGCCAGCTTGACTTCATTAAAGCAAAATGGGGAACCTATTAATACTAAAAAAATCAGAAATTCTTTCAAATATTTCAAAGATTCTAATTTTCATTCAAAATCTTACACTGAGAATATAATTATCAATAGAAAGTGTTGTACTAATTGAGCAAAGAAGTAAAATAGAAGCATTTTCACTAGTGGTTTTAGACCTACTGTATATCTGTACTGTAAAGTATCTCCATTTTTTTATGTTTTCTATTTTTCTACATCATTTGAGCTCAACAACTGTCCTTTACTTTGTGTGAAAGTTGCTGATGAATGGGCCAGTAGTAATGCTCCAGAATACACTTACATTAAAAGTAACAAGCATTTTTGCCTTCTTTTTTGAAGATATTTGTTTTTTTTTAGACAGCGACAATATGTATGAACAACACATTCAGTAAAACAGAACAATGATCAATCTTATAGTGATACACGCACTAGCTGCATGGTTCAAACTCCTGTTTACAGAAATACTTTCAGCTTTAAAAAACTGAACACATAAACAAAAAGATAAATGTGATTTGTAGCCTGACAGAATCGTAGTCGACTAAAAACAGCACAATTAGTCAGCTAGTCGACCAATTGAGGGAATAGCCTGAGCTAATGTTTCTGGTTTAAATATATGTTATTAGCTCTTCTTAAAACAGTGTTTCTGTTGTTGATAAGCTCATCAAATGTCAAAATTAAGGTTTTCATCTTCATCTTTTCTGTTCTTTATTTCAGTATTTTTAAATAAAGCATATAAAACATCATTGTATATGTTAAAAGAAAGATTCATCTATTTCATTGTAAGATTTATCCCCAAAATCTGAAAATCTGTATGAAAAGTATGTGTACATAGATTAGGTGGGCTTATTAGGCACTTTTCCCCTAGATTATCAAAATCAGTTATATTAACTAACTGCAGTTATTCCTCCCTTGCTACAGTTAAGACAAACACATAGCCAGTTTGTTAAGAGGTTTATTATCTAAGATGACAGTCAGGTTATCCAACATAAGAGACTATATGTAGCTTTTGATTGTTTGGGCTGTGGGAGACTTTACAGTGGTGTAGCCCCCTACTGGACTTGCATGGGTACTTACAGATGTAACACTGACTAGAACCTGAAATAAATGAAGGAATATATTCTAATATAAGAGCACCAACTGGAGACCCAAGCAAAACATTGTCAAATATTACTATGGCAATCATCTTATTCAGCAGTATTTTAATGCACTCATAAGGTTTAAGAATTTGCACGTTGCTTGATACAAACTGTTTTATTGACTGTTTTATTTTATTAATTTTAACTAAATGTATTGTCAAAACTTCAACAAAACAAACTCTACAAATAAAAAAACAGCAAATATCTCAATTTTTGTAGTTTTTACATTTTTTATGAATCAAGAATTATTTTCCCTTTCACGTACAAGAGGTGTCGAATACAAAAGTTTTCATGAATACTTACTTTTTGGAATAGCTAACAGAGAGCTACAGCTAGAAACTGACCACCCTCCAAAAATAACCTTCATCTTTTTACAATTTTCAGCCCATTATACTCAATATGTATAATGTTCTTTAAAAATTGTGTATGTGTGATTGCTTCATACAATTTAGCAATAATGAACATTGAATTTATGTGGTATTGTTACTTTCAAGAAGTCATTTTATTCAAATACCAAAGTTTTTGCAGAAACAATAAAAACATACTTTCTGAAACAGATAAAATGTGCAAGCTTTATTTGATACTGCCTTTATAGTATACATAGGTATTTAAAATTTGTACATAGTGCTTAGTAGTTTCAAAGTATAAGATCATTATGCACTGTTAAGTACACTATAATAATACAACATCATTATTACATGTGTAAGGTTTCTTATTAATCTTATTAATAAAAGGCAAAAATCCTTGTAATTTGTCAGATGTGGAGGAATTTTCAGGAAGGTCCTAACCATTAGGACACCCCCTTCATTAAATTTCCAATTACATTAGAACAAAAGAAGAGTAGAATATACTTCAAACATAAACGGACACCCTGTATTTATAACAAAGAATGGATTCCCTTTTATAATGTAATTTTGTTATCACTCATTTGATAATTCCCAGCTTCAAATAAAACATCTTGTTTATTTATTATGAGCTAGAAAAACATAGATAATGTGTATTTATTCTGACACAACACTGAATTGTGTTTAGAAGTGCAGTGCAACCTAAAGCAAACGCGATAGAAGGGACATCAGTAGCACAGGAAGCAAGCAGATCATTCCGGGTGCCACGGAAATACCTGTGAAAATATACATAAAATTCAGTGTACAGACCAAGCATTTAAAAGAAATGTGACTTTAACAACTGCATGAAGTAATTCAGTGGGCAGTGGGATGCCACCTTCTGATAAATATGGCTGTGCAGCAAGGGTGAATATATATAGTATATAATCTTTGTGAGTGTACACTGACCTGAACTCACGGCAACAGAGGTCTCATCAATAGCAAAGGTAAAACTTCCGTTTCTTATGGCCGCAATGATGGTGTTTTTCAGTTGTTCTGCAGTAGTTTCATTAGTACTAAACTCAACTGCGGAATCAGCCACAATGGAGCCACTCCTGAAAACATACAAAGCATATTGGCAAACAGGTTCAAACTCAGAATCATCATCAAAAAGCAACAGTTATTCAGAACAGCATCTGCTTTCTCACCTGAAACTCCGAATGAACATGCGGATGAAGCTTTTGAAGATTCTCTTGAAAACTACTCCAAACTGAAAGAGAAACATTTACAGATTATTATAGAATACAGATTACAATTATTTTAAATACTTTGGCAAAGTGTTGGGAAACTGTTAGATAGGGCTAAAAAGTTACCAAATAACTCACTATGTATAATATTCTTTCATATGCATTCTGTAAAAAGGGCTAATTCAGTTCAACCTAAAAATTACTCCATGTGAAAACAAGCAAATTTACTAGTTTTATCCAACCTAAATAAATACTTTGAATGAACGATTGTTTCTTTTAATGTAATTTTTTGGGTTGAATAAAACCAGTTCAGTTGCTTGTTACGACATGAAGTCAGTTTTTTGTTTGTTTGTAAGAACTAATTAGAGATAGTAAAATAGCAGTGACTGTAACAGTATCACTGTTGACAAATTACCTGAGAGGTGATGTTGCTAGCTTTTGCTTTAAACTGATCAGAGCTGCTATTGGACAGATTTGTATCAAAGTTTTCATTGATTCTGAAGGACACGTTGAATGTTGCAGCAACTACAGTTGCGGTGGTTGATGCACTTGCAGTTGCATTTTGAGTTGAGGCTGAAGTTGCATTTTGAGTTGAGGCTGAAGTTGCATTCTGAGTCGAGGCTGAAGATGCATTTTGAGTTGAGGCTGAAGTTGCAACAGTTGAAGCCTGAGTTGTAGCGGCACTGACTGCAGGTGTAGTTGTATCTGATGAGGTTGAGACTGGTATGACAAAGCAGATGACAGACAAAACATTTTTATAAAGTGGAGCTAATTCTGTGCACTGCTTATTAGACTAATCCTGGCCAAATATGAAACACCTGGGATATGAGGACTTCCTCTATACTAGTGCAGTATAATCACAACCAAAATGGCTGTGATGGCTGTGATGTGTAACATCAGTGCATAACATTAAGTACATTACAACAATACTAAATCATTTTCAGATGTGTAATGTTTTCTGTTCTACTTAATAAAAGACAATAATCTTTGTAATTTGTCAGATACGGAAAATATGGAATTTATAACCATTAGGACACCATCTTCATTAAATATCCAATTACATTAGTACAACAGAAGAGTAGAATATTCATTAAATAAATAGATACTCTTTATTTCTACTGAAGATTGGCTTCCTTTTATACCATGAGAATTATATAATCATACATTTACCAATTTGCAGCTTAAAATGAGTTTAACATACAAAATAAAGCCTATACCTAGTAAAACAGACTAGGTGTACTCATTTCAATACAATACTTTTGCATTTGACTTCATGATATTACAGCGTGTGTATCTGTGCTCTGATCTGGTTTATGGTTAACAGTGCAGTGCGGCTATAAGCACAAGTGATATAAGGGATAATGATAAGAAAAAAAGTGAGCTGGCCATTCTGGGTACCATGAAAGGACTTGTGCTATTACTTGTAAAAAATACATAAATCTCAATATACTGAAGAACTTTTAACAACTGCATTAAGATATTCAGTGGGCGGCGGGACGCTACCTTCTAATAAATATGGCTGTGCACTGTGTACACTGACCTGGATTCTGGGTGACATTGATGGAGTTTGTATCAATAGCAAGGGTCACATTTCCATCTCTAACTGCTTGAGCAAGGGTGTTACTCAGTTGGGTTGCGTTAGTGCTACTGTTACTCGAACTAAACTCAAGTGTGATATCAGCCACAATGGAGCCTTTCCTGAAAACACACAAGCATATTGACAAACAAGTTCAAACTCTGAATCATCATTCAAAAAGCAACATTTATTCAGAACAACATCTGTTTTCTCACCGGAATGCCCGAATGATCATGCGGAGGAAGTTTCTGAAAAGTCTCTTGTAAAGTCGTTCAAGCTGGAAAAAAAATGTATTAGATTATAGATTACAGTGATCACAAATACTCTGACAAAATGTTGGGTCACTTCAAGGACTAAAAAGTTACCAAATATAACTCACTATATATAATATTCTTTCATATGCATGGTTTCTTTATCTGTGTGCTAAGGCTGCTAAGAACCTTATGGAACTACTGCTATAGTTGGAAAAAGTACTTATTTTCTTAGCTTTGATCGTAAGACATTATTGAAATAGTAAAATAGTAGTCACTGTAACAATGTTAATATAGCTAATATATAATAAGTTCATTTATCAGTAATCAAAACAATTGAACAATTACCTGCACTGTGATTTTGTCGGCTTGTGCTTTAAACTGATCAGAGCTGCTATTGGACAGATTGTCATTAAAGGTTTCATTGATGCTGAAGGACATGTTGAATGATGCAGCAACTACAAGTGCTGTGGTTGATGTGATTTGAGTTGAGGCTGAAGTTGCATTTTGAGCTGGGGCTAAAGTTGCGTTAGGTGAAGGTGAACTGACTGAAGGTGTAGTTGTATCTGGTGGGGTTGGGACTGGCATGACAAAGCAGATGACAGACAAAACATTTCAGTTAATAAAGTGGAGCTATTTCAAAGCACAAATATGAAACATCTGGGATATCAGGATCATCACTAGTGTAGTTCAATCACACCCAAAATGGCGCATCAGTAAACAATATAATATCACACTATGTATAGTGTACATAGGTATGTAGTAGTTGTATGAAACTTGACACGTAAGTGTTCAGTAGTTTCAAAGTATAACATCAGTGCATAACATTAAGTACACTACAACAATACTAAATCATTTTCAGATGTGTAATGTTTTCTGTTCTACTTAATAAAAGACAATAATCTTTGTAATTTGTCAGATACGGAAAATATGGAATTTATAACCATTAGGACACCATCTTCATTAAATATCCAATTACATTAGTACAACAGAAGAGTAGAATATTCATTAAATAAATAGATACTCTTTATTTCTACTAAAGATTGGCTTCCTTTTATACCATGAGAATTATATAATCATACATTTACCAATTTGCAGCTTAAAATGAGTTTAACATACAAAATAAAGCCTATACCTAGTAAAACAGACTAGGTGTACTCATTTCAATACAATACTTTTGCATTTGACTTCATGATATTACAGCGTGTGTATCTGTGCTCTGATCTGGTTTATGGTTAACAGTGCAGTGCGGCTATAAGCACAAGTGATATAAGGGATAATGATAAGAAAAAAAGTGAGCTGGCCATTCTGGGTACCATGAAAGGACTTGTGCTATTACTTGTAAAAAATACATAAATCTCAATATACTGAAGAACTTTTAACAACTGCATTAAGATATTCAGTGGGCGGCGGGACGCTACCTTCTAATAAATATGGCTGTGCACTGTGTACACTGACCTGGATTCTGGGTGACATTGATGGAGTTTGTATCAATAGCAAGGGTCACATTTCCATCTCTAACTGCTTGAGCAAGGGTGTTACTCAGTTGGGTTGCGTTAGTGCTACTGTTACTCGAACTAAACTCAAGTGTGATATCAGCCACAATGGAGCCTTTCCTGAAAACACACAAGCATATTGACAAACAAGTTCAAACTCTGAATCATCATTCAAAAAGCAACATTTATTCAGAACAACATCTGTTTTCTCACCGGAATGCCCGAATGATCATGCGGAGGAAGTTTCTGAAAAGTCTCTTGTAAAGTGGTTCAAGCTGGAAAAAAAAATGTATTAGATTATAGATTACAGTGATCACAAATACTCTGACAAAATGTTGGGTCACTTCAAGGACTAAAAAGTTACCAAATATAACTCACTATATATAATATTCTTTCATATGCATGGTTTCTTTATCTGTGTGCTAAGGCTGCTAAGAACCTTATGGAACTACTGCTATAGTTGGAAAAAGTACTTATTTTCTTAGCTTTGATCGTAAGACATTATTGAAATAGTAAAATAGTAGTCACTGTAACAATGTTAATATAGCTAATATATAATAAGTTCATTTATCAGTAATCAAAACAATTGAACAATTACCTGCACTGTGATTTTGTCGGCTTGTGCTTTAAACTGATCAGAGCTGCTATTGGACAGATTGTCATTAAAGGTTTCATTGATGCTGAAGGACATGTTGAATGATGCAGCAACTACAAGTGCTGTGGTTGATGTGATTTGAGTTGAGGCTGAAGTTGCATTTTGAGCTGGGGCTAAAGTTGCGTTAGGTGAAGGTGAACTGACTGAAGGTGTAGTTGTATCTGGTGGGGTTGGGACTGGCATGACAAAGCAGATGACAGACAAAACATTTCAGTTAATAAAGTGGAGCTATTTCAAAGCACAAATATGAAACATCTGGGATATCAGGATCATCACTAGTGTAGTTCAATCACACCCAAAATGGCGCAACAGTAAAAAAAAACAAAACAATATAATATCACACTATGTATAGTGTACATAGGTATGTAGTAGTTGTATGAAACTTGACACGTAAGTGTTCAGTAGTTTCAAAGTATAACATCAGTGCATAACATTAAGTACACTACAACAATACTAAATCATTTTCAGATGTGTAATGTTTTCTGTTCTACTTAATAAAAGACAATAATCTTTGTAATTTGTCAGATACGGAAAATATGGAATTTATAACCATTAGGACACCATCTTCATTAAATATCCAATTACATTAGTACAACAGAAGAGTAGAATATTCATTAAATAAATAGATACTCTTTATTTCTACTAAAGATTGGCTTCCTTTTATACCATGAGAATTATATAATCATACATTTACCAATTTGCAGCTTAAAATGAGTTTAACATACAAAATAAAGCCTATACCTAGTAAAACAGACTAGGTGTACTCATTTCAATACAATACTTTTGCATTTGACTTCATGATATTACAGCGTGTGTATCTGTGCTCTGATCTGGTTTATGGTTAACAGTGCAGTGTGGCTATAAGCACAAGTGATATAAGGGATAATGATAAGAAAAAAGTGAGCTGGCCATTCTGGGTACCATGAAAGGACTTGTGCTATTACTTGTAAAAAATACATAAATCTCAATGTACTGAAGAACTTTTAACAACTGCATTAAGATATTCAGTGGGCGGCGGGACGCTACCTTCTAACAAATATGGCTGTGCACTGTGTACACTGACCTGGATTCTGGGTGACATTGATGGAGTTTGTATCAATAGCAAGGGTCACATTTCCATCTCTAACTGCTTGAGCAAGGGTGTTTCTCAGTTGGGTTGCGTTAATGCTATTGTCACTCGAACTAAACTCAAGTGTGATATCAGCCACAATGGAGCCTTTCCTGAAAACACACAAGCATATTGACAAACAGGTTCAAACTCTGAATCATCATTCAAAAAGCAACATTTATTCAGAACAACATCTGTTTTCTCACCGGAATGCCCGAATGATCATGCGGAGGAAGTTTCCGAAAGGTCCCTTGTAAAGTGGTTCAAGCTGAAAAAAATTTACAGATTATAGATTACAGTGATCACAAATACTCTGACAAAATTTTGGGTCACTTCAAGGACTAAAAAGTTACCAAATATAACTCACTATATATAATATTCTTTCATATGCATGGTTTCTTTATCTGTGTGCTAAGGCTGCTAAGAACCTTATGGAACTACTGCTATAGTTGGAAAAAGTACTTATTTTCTTAGCTTTGATCGTAAGACATTATTGAAATGGTAAAATAGTAGTCACTGTAACAATGTTAATATAGCTAATATATAATAAGTTCATTTATCAGTAATCAAAACAATTGAACAATTACCTGCACTTTGATTTTGTCGGCTTGTGCTTTAAACTGATCAGAGCTGCTATTGGACAGATTGTCATTAAAGGTTTCATTGATGCTGAAGGACATGTTGAATGATGCAGCTACAGGAGTACTTCGGGTTGGGTTTGGTATGACTAAACAGATGGGAGACAAAACATTTCAGTCAATAAAATGGAACTAATTCAAAGCTGAAATATGAAACATCGGGAATATCAGGATTGCCAGTGCAGTGCAGTAAATACTATAGAGTAACAGTCAACATATCAGGCACACTTCTAGAAACTACTGGGGTACCTGGTGGTGATTCATTGCCAGGAAATCTGGTTCCAGGTGCTGTTGCATTTGGCGAAGTAGTGGGTTTTTTAGTACTCAATGTTTCATTCGGTGCAGACCATGAAGGAATGGGGCTCGTAACATTCATTGTCGAATTTGGGGAAATCTCATTCAAGTGTGAAGGAGTGGGTTTTGTTGCATTCCATGTTTCATTCAGTGTAGACCATGTAGGAACGGGGGTTGTAGCATTCTCTGTTGGTGAAGTCTGAGTCACTGTCTGTGCTGTCACGAGAGAGGCAAACAAATTAGAAGTTTGTTAACAAAATATATAGGAATGGTGCATCACTTCTTTGCCTTACACACTAGATTTCCTCATTCAGATGAGGATAGAAATATACAAATTTTGTAATGCACAAATTAGGAATAGCAACACTGGTTTGTGGTGAATCTGGTTGAACTTGTACAAGTATGAGTGATGCAAGCAACTCTTAGAGCAGAGTGAAGCCTTTAAAATGTTATATCACATTATAAAATGCATGAAATGTTGAAAGCTGATCAAATTATTTTCCTAGTAATGTACATCCTGGAAGTCATTTTTTTCTACCATTCATCCCATCATCCTGTATTCATCTGAAAAATAAGGATGAGGGACTCACATTGGACCCACTAAACTTTGCGTAACCCTAATCAGAAGCTGCTGAGGAGTGGAGAGTTTCTCTACACTAAAGCTATCAGCAAGGTTGTACTAATAATAAGTAACAGAGATACTGTGGCATCAAAATAATAATAATATATATAATATAATAATAATAACTAACAAAAATTCTTCCTTTGATTAAGTGGTTCAATCCAGTCCCTAGGGCCCTTAAGACGGCCCACATTGTAGCTCTCCACCACAGCGGAGCCAAACCAAACACTAAATACTGGCTATAAATACCTGGGAGCTGGATTAGAGCAAACACCCTGAAGACTGTTGGTTTGAGAACCAACAACATTAAAATAGGGAATTTTGTCATGCTTTTTTAGGACTTTCTGTTTTTGATAGATGGTTCACAGTTTCCAAGCAGGTAGATATTACAATAAAACATAAAGCTCAATCTGCTAAACATTATGATTGCTTTGCAATATGGATTTATTCTTTAGTCACTGAACAAGTGTTAACAAATAATCTTTGAAGGCCCACTTAGCGGTTAAGAGCAAAGTCAAGTGGGAATAAAGAGTTCAAATTTTTTGCTTAGAAATAAATAATTTCCAAAGAAATTAACATTTCAACCTGTAATTCCTGACCCCTGGTTCTGGAGTACCCACTGCTCTCAGTATCTTCCATGGTTTCA